GGTGGGGGAAGAGAAGAAAAAGAAAAGTAAGGTTTGGGCCCAAAATTCTTAAACTGCCCATGGACCCCCCTGCAGTACTGTTGCCAGACCACCAAGGGTCTGCAGTCCACAGGTAGGGAACCACTGTTCTAGTTCATACAGAGTGCTGAAGACGTTTTTAACAATGTCATCTAGACTTGTTGTAAAGTGTCACATAATCTGTACTGGCAACATCCATAAACCTATGGGCAATAATACTTGGCAGCATTGGAGCTTCCATTTAGAATTAAAGGACAAGTCCTTATGGTTTGGGAGAAAACAATTCTTCATATGAAGATGATGTATGGCAAAACCAACATCTATTTCATTCTGGCTAGGAAACTTATTCCTTAGGCTAGTAATATTTTGAATAAGATTTCCTAACCTAGTTGTTGACTTGTTTCTGTAACTTTCATCCATACATCTCAAACACTCAATTGAGACTGATTAAAAGGGCTAATGGTTTAGCCCAATCTCCATTTAGCAGGGTTAAACAGAGTTCAGCAAGGTCCAGAGACTTATACATACCATAGAATACTAGAGTTGGAAGAGGCCCTCATCTAGTCCAACCCCTGCTCAAAGCAAGACTAACCCAAACTAAATCATCCCAGCCAGGGCTTTGTCAAACTGGGCCAAAAAGCATCTGTCTCTAAGAATGGAGCTTCCACTGCTTCACCAAACTCCTAGTGAAATATTTTTTTTCCTAATATCCAACCTTGACTAGGGATGTTAATGTGTACACAGTTAACCAATAAGCCTGGGCTCATTAGTTAAACCTCACGGTTACACACCCACGCTCCCCTACCTCTCTATCAGAAGCAGCAGGGGGTGAGGAAGACTGGTGCCAGGTGCTTGTGTGCAGTCTACTTTTCAGTCTGCTCCCTGCACGTACCGGCTCCTGCAGAGCCACCTCCCACAGACAGCAGCACAGAGGAGGGCAGGCAGGAGCTGGTGGTTGGAGGAGGGGGGAAGAACAGGCTAAAAAACATCCAGCACCTGCCTGCCCCCCAAATGTAAATATGTAACTGCTGAAAATGTCAGTGGTTACACGTTTACAAAAATTTATTTTAATGTCCCTAATGTAGACCTCCTTAGTGCAGCTTGAGACGATTGTTCCTTGTTCTGTCTTCTGCCACTAAGCTCCATCATTTTAGAAATCCCCCTTCAGATAGCTGAAAGTTGCTATCCACTCTCCCACACCACTCTTTTATTCTTCAGGCTAAAAAAGCCCATTTGCCTCAGCATCTCCTCATAAGTAGTGTGCCCCAGCCACCTAATCATTGTTGCCATCTGCTGGACTCTGAGATTTGTCCATATCCATTCTGTAATGCAAGTTGGGGCTGAATAAAGGGTAATAATCACTCCAACTCTTATCCAGATTCTTATCTACTGTAATTCCCAGTTGCTGTTCTGCAATGCATGGCATTCTTTCATGCTCAGTATAGAATCCTGCACTTGTTGAACCTCATCAGATTTCGTTTGGCCCAATCCTCCAATTTGTCTCGGTCGCTCTGGATCTTCTCCTTACCCTCTAGTATATCTACACCTCCCCAGCTTAGTATCATCCACAAACTTGCTGAGTTAAATCCATCCCAGCCCCAAGACACTCTGCTTGATACCAGCTGCCAACTAGACATTGGGATGTTGAGCCTTATGATTCAGCCAACTTCCTGTCCACCTTTTTATAGTTAATTCATCCAATCCATACTTTAACTTGCTGGCAAGAATACTGTGGAAGACCGTAGATACTTAAGCCTGGTACTGCGGCACAAACACCTATAAAAAAATCTTAACCTTTTTTATTAAAATACAAAAAAGTATTTGAAATATACAATACAAAATATGATTTCATTTTTGCAGCATCCCTTGCTGCTTTCCCATTTGGCTGTAAAGTTTTTAGAAAGGGAAAAACTCAATTCAGTTTTGAGATTCAGGAACTGGTGAGGGTGACTTTCATCTTATTGCCTCTCCCTGGCCAGTTCTTGTCAGGACACCTTTTAAGGTCTGGATGATGAATGCCCGTAGTTCCAGGAAACCTGTGAAGGGGATAGCTATGATAGTGGGGCTTGCTCAAATACCCTTTGTCTGCAGTTCCACATGTGTTTATATTTGTTCCTTTTTCCTCACAAAAGGAGTGATAGGTAGAAAAATATTTTGGATCCTTAATAGTCCATCCCCTCATTATTGTATCTACCAACTAGGCTTAAGAACTGACAACAATTTTGGCTCTGACTTTCGGCTTCACATCTATTTAACTTCAACACAATCCTTGAATTGTAGAAATGGATCTCTTCTGTTCAGACTAATCCTATTTCCCATCAACTTTTGTTTTAGGTTATGACATCTTATGAACTTTACATCTTACAGTTAAGCTCACACCTCAGGTCCAGTTGTCACAGTAATTCACAAAGCTGCTTTTATTAATTTTTATTAATTTTTAAGGCCCTTTAGAGTTAATCCCGGTCTTCTCTCATTTGCTGTTGATGCTGGCCTCTGATCAGGAATGATGGCAGTCTCCACTAAACACACATTATATTTTGTGCTTTTTCACGTCTGCCCCATGTACATGGGAGGAAATCCTAGTAAATAAGCAAAACTCCTACGTTGTTTGCCTTTTGAGTCTCTTCAAAACTGTCCTTTGCTATGAGGCCTACAAAAAACTTGGCAGTGGTTAAGCTGTTGCTGTGCAGAGACCACTGCCTATTATGCTGACCATGGTGGTCTCACTGTTTACTTGTATTTTCCCATCTGTTTATATCCATAACACTCTGGTCGTACGTTTTAGATTGTAAGCTCTTTGGTGGTAGGGACCATCATTTTGTCCTGTTTTTGTACAGTGCCTATCACAGTTGTATCCTGGTACATGACTGAGGCTCCCAGTTGCTTTGATAATACAAATAAAGAAGATTCAGAGATGCAGAGACTAAGAATTTTTTTCAGAGGAACTGAGAAGCTTCTGCTACTACAGACTACAGTTGAATATGTGAGTGCTCAGTAAGTATGAAAATAGGCCCTATAGTAAAAGTGTAAAAGTCTCATTTTCAAAGTCACTGCTAAAATAAGATGTGCAAATTCACATAGAGTAAATGCCTAAAATTGAACAGTGAGAGAGTAGCTGAGGAATATAATTCAGATATTCTGACTTGAGCTTGTGCTCTGCCTATTTGGATAATGATACCTCAGGGTTACAAGAGTTGTTACATTTTTTTTCAGGCTTTTAGTTACAGTTCTTATCATAAGACTTGGACATGAACATGTTAAACTTACCTTCAGTTGATAGTAAATGCCCTGTTCAGATTGGATTGGTCTAGTCATCTTGTTTTTGAACTTTGTATAGTATCTATCTTACACTTTCTATTAAAATGGTGGAAGTAGAGATACAAGAAACATGGTGTGGCTGTCACTGGCCTCAGGAGCAATGTGAGTTTTAGCATACCATATCTCGCTGAAATTTTGCGCAAGTTTTTTCCATGCTCTCTACATGCTCTTCTCAGAATTTGGTGTTTCAGCTGGCTCTAATTTGACAATTAAAACTTCTTTATCAGAATTCTGAAATGGCCAGCTTTATTTCAGTTTTAAGTGGCTTTCTGTGGTGATGGAGAGAAGCTGCTAAAGAGCCACCGAAATGAAATATCTTTAAAAAGATGGCTAACCCATGCATGAAGCCCCTTTAAAGAACTTTGCATGTGGGATGAACACACGTACTCCCGGGTGTTGAGATGTAAGTGTTTAAACTTAGTATTGCCATCGTATCTTGTATCAGACAGACCCCATCATTCTGATGGGTGAATCTTAGTGCTTCTAGTGACCAAGGCAGGGGTAGGCAATAAGTGGCCCACTGGCCAGATGCATTTCACCAGGGTTAGCCCCTTGTAGATCACTGGCAGGCTGCTAGCACTTTATTTACCTGTGCATAAGCAGTTATAGCTGCTTGCAGCTCCTGTTGGCCACAGATCACTATTCCCAGCCAATAGGAGTTGTGGGAAACTGTCTCCTGTACCGTGCCTCTTCCTGTGGCTCCCATTGGCTGAGGATCGCTGTTCCTGGCCAACAGGAGTTGCAAGCAGCTGTAACTGCTGATGTGCAGGTAAATAAGGTGCCAGCAACCTACCGGGGCTAACACTAGTGAAATGCATCCGGGCTGCTTGTTGCCTGCCCCAAACTAAGGTTTTCTCTAAATTATGATCTTTATAAAGCATCCCTTGGAAAGCATGCAAGGTGCTGAACAAAAATTATAAATTCAACTTATTTTAGTAACACAAGAATACCCTGACCTCAGTGAAATCACTGAGGTAAGTGAAGGGTGCATGTAAAAGCATTTTAACATATTTTAAAATCGTATAGTCAAGGTGAGTTAGAAGCCTTTGGAGGTTTAAAAGATGAACCTTTAAAAACCTAGACAAGCCCCAAATACCTCTTAATCACAGACAACAGCACTGAAGTGCTCCCTTGTTAAGTTGTGGGTACAATCTGACTTTTAGGACTGGTCTACACAAGGAATTACACTGAGGTAACAAGGTATTACCTTTAGGCCTGTTAAGTTACTGCTGCAAATCTGAGGGGGAAAAAAGTGGATATAGACACAGTTGGCTTTGACCATGTTTAGTTTGAAATAACTGTACACACTTAAAACTATTTAGTTAAATGAGCTTGTCAACTAAAGTCAGTTCCCAAGATAACCCTTAATAACTTGTTTAATAATTTTTAGAACAATAGGATAGCTTCCAATGCTCCATTCCAATTATGAAGGCTTCATAAGACTGATATGGCACTGCAATTAAGCATGAGAGTTGGTATCCCTTTAATCCTTTTTGTAAACTTTATATCTCAGCTGATGTAACCGTGGATGCTCTTATTATCCATATAAATGTCTAACCCTTTTTTTGAATCCCGCTAAGCTTTTGGCTTTGATATGGCTTGGTACTTATTTACAGAGGCTGCTTATGACTTGTTTGTTTTTCTGCAATCAGTTTTCAAACGTGTTAATATTTAGTGCTGAAATCCCAGAAGTTTTGAGTTACCACTTGTATTATAATGAGGTGGATGTCAAACCCTGGTTGTGTAATGCCTTATAGGTGTCTCTAAACTTCCAAGAGGCTTTGACAACTGACTCTAGAATTTTTTTTACCCTTTTTCCTCAAATTTTTTGAAGCCTGTCCATCATGTACATTAGATGGTCTGCTTATGCTGTTCAGTAGTATTCTCCAGCAAAAAGCTTCCTCATCTTCCTTTGGGTACCTTCAAATTCTGAACATTCTTTTTTTTTTTCCTGTAGACGTTGAGCAATATCCACACAGTCATGAGACTAGTGGGACTCTGCAGTCATTTTTTTTTCCTTGCACTTATAAAAAGGGAGGTGAAATTCTGAATGGTAAAGAGTCCCCAGGGCAAAGTGACCATGGCTCAGATTTACTGGATAGCTGATGGTTAAAATTGATTACAAAAGATCACTTATTCTGGCATTGCTTTTTTAACGCCTATCAGAAGACCCAGTGTGTGTTTGCTTGCTCTTTTCTATTTCCTCTTAGCATAGCACTGTTTGCTAACTTTTTCTGCATGGCTCTTTAAGGGCAAAGGTATGCTGCTGGCTTTTGTATTTCTTTCAAATGTTTCTACTAAGGATGTCACTGAGTAGTCAACTAGATGATTAACTGATAAGCCTAAGCATATTGGTTAATCTTGTTGACTGCTCGCATTTCCCCTCCCTTGCGGCCTATGTATCAAAGGCAGCAAGGGGGAGGAAAACAGGAATGTCTCCCTAGCACTGGCTCCAGGGTTCTGCCTGCCCTCTCCATGTGATGCTGCCTCTATCAGAGGCAGCAGAGGGGCAGGGCAGTGGAGGCTGCCTGGTGGCAGGGGGGTCTGACCTTCCCACGGACAGCAGCTGCTCCGCATGTCCCTGAGCAGCCTCTGTCTGGCGAGCCTGGGCCCACAATGGGCAGGGGCTGTTTTGCGGTAGCAGCCCCTGTCTGGGGGGGATCTGAGCTCCCCCTCAGGCAGAGGCTGCTCAGCATCTCATGGAGCAGTCTGTCCATGGGGAGCTTGGGACCCCTCTTTTGTTCCCCCCATGAACCGTGGCTGCTGCCACCACCCTGTGCTACTGCCTCTGCCTCCTGGTTAACGAGTTAAACCTATGTTTTAACTGATTAACTGGGATTTTACATCCCTAGACTCTGCTCTTCTATAATTGATAGTAATGTTTACACACAAGCTTCATTCCTGGAAACTGCCTTTGCTGATTGGTGCAGAATTCCTTAGATCTTAACTGCTGCTTACCTGTAACAGGGAAGCTTTCCAGTGATACGAATTGGTTGAATAAAGCTTCAAGGGTATGATTTCCCCCAGCGCACATTCTCTAGTATTTGATGTACACTACTGCCTACCTTCCCTTTTTCACCTAAGGCAGCAGTTGCCAACTGCTGAGCCACAGTCTGGTGTCAGGCCACGAACCATTGGCAGCTCTGTGGGCTGGAATACACTGTCCAGTGCCTCTCCTCCTGCTACAGCTGTTGAGAGCGTACCTCAGCCAACCAGCACTGGGCAGGACCGGGTTCTCCTCTCAGCCGTGGAAGAGTGGCTTGCTGCACAAAGGGAGGGCCACGCAGAGCCCAGCACAGCAGCCTTAGAGTAGCCAGGACCCAGGCAGCAGTGCTTAGCTGGCAACTGGGAGGCAGCATAGTGTTAGGTGGGAAGGCAGGCTGGCACTGGGGGCAGGGCTAATACTGGAGGGCTCTAAGAGGTGGGGGGCTAACATTGGGTGACGCGGGGGAGGGGGGTCCCCCATTAGGGATGGGACTAATATTGGGACCTGGCACTGGGCAGACCCTGATAAGGCTGGGTGCAATGGGCCTGTAGAAACAGGTGGCTGGCACTGGGAGGGATGGGGGGGTCAGGGGACTGAGGGACTTTAGAGGCTGGGGCTTTTTATGCCATGGATTGGCAAACCCACAAACTTTTTTGGCGGACCGGTAACATTATATTTTCATATTTGAATAGTCAGTATTTGCATAATAAATATACAAATAAAATGTTACCGGTCCACCAAAAGTTTGTGAATGGGTTTGCTGGTCTGTGGTGTATAAGAGGTTGGGAATCACTGACCTAAGGAACTTAATCTTAAATGGGTATCAAAATTCTGATCCATTTAGCAACTTTAGAGCATAGTTCATGTGTTTTGCTTCATGATGTCATTAGTGAAAAATCTAAGACTATACAGAGATGCACTTATTTGCTGTATTCAGTTTTTTAGATGAAGTGTTGACTTAAAAACTATATTCATTTTAACATTAAACAGATTTAACGTCCTCTGGCAAATGCTGACTGATCTGACTTTCCAGTACATGTTTAATTTGCAAACTAAAATCTTGCTGTTACGGCTTTTTTGTGTTAAACAACTGAACTGTACAAAATAACAAACTAGTGATGCAGACTCACAGGATCATTAATCTGTTTTATTGCTCTAGCTATATTAAAATCAACTCTAATCACAGTTAAAAAGCAAATGAACTGTGATTTACCTTTTGGGTATAATTGGACATACTGCCTTGTAAGTTGGTTTTTTGTGCTTGTTCCGTCTGAAAAATAATGGGCTATTACGTATGCAGTAAAGCCTAATACATAATTGATTGTGTGATACACACAGTGCAGCACATACCATTATCTAGGCTACATGAGCTGTTTTTGTCTGATTTCCTGAACAATTCTTTCTTGCAGTAGAAACTAAAGGATTTTCAATCTGTCATGAGGACAGCAGATTACTATTTCTCTGTACTGATAAAAGTATCTAAAATAAAATGCTAAATCCCTCATACTAATGCATACGAGCTCTTTACTGAGGATCAGTGTCCCAGTAAACATCAGACAGTTAGCAATGGCATATTCCGTGCTCATACTACTTGAGGTCACTTTCTCCAACATCGAATTCTTTTGTCTTTTCATATGGGGAAGATCCAGGCTACTGGAACCTGGAATCCTGTCAAACTT